GGTCTTCACATTTCAATAGTCCTATAAACAAAATGAAATGTGAGTAAATCGAACCCCTCTCTTAGAATGTTAATGCTCTGACTTCAGAAAAGCAGTGTAAGAAAAAATTAATTTAACTTAAGTAAATGGTCGGTTGCATTATCTTTGCTTATTATCATCATGAATAATCATTTTCATTTTAAAATATGAGAAATAAGGAGAAAATTGTCACCATATAAATAAACGTACCTCTATTTTACTCTACCACGAAACAGCAAAAAGTCAGCCTTGGGCAACAACCAAAAAGCTTCAGGCCTATTTATGTGTGGAGTTGTTATAAAAATTACCCATGCTCTTTAGATATAATTTAATGCAATGAATTAAAAATAAAATTAATTTTAATCATATGAATTTCCATTTCACTATCATCTTTCACCTTATTAGCAAAGGAAGAAATTTTTCAATCTACTTCAACGATTTGGAACAGAATAACTGTAATTCTCATCCAAATCCTTGTTTTTTTTACTACAGTAACAAGGCAAGAGCTGTCTTCCGGAGTTGGTGTTATCTCACGACTTCCAGAACTGCAGGATACGTTCCGTAATGACACAAACAAGAGCAACTGCAAGAATCAATAGGCAGACTCAGGAGGGGAAAAGCTGATGTCCACTCCAGCAGAACTGCCATAATTAATATTAAATAGGAAAACAGCACTTCCGATCGCACAGGAGCAAGGTTTATGCAACAAAATACAATGAATAGGCAGAGGATGGACATCAAAATCTTATAAGAAAGAACACATCCGGGATAAACAGAGGTGAGGCAAGCGAGCAGAGAAATGCCATCAAACCTACCTGGGGTACAAGTCATCAGGGCCAAACCAGTTCTTGGTGAACAGACACTCCTGGTGATGAAGAAGGCAAAATTATACTAACAGGCTCTGCATGTAACAGCTATGGCTGCAAGTCAATAACCAGCAGGACAAACAGAAACAGCTGCTCCCTTCCGCTCCAGGAACGTGCAAAGGGCATTGGGGTACAAATCTATGTGTCTTTACCATCATCCCTTACACATGTGGATGGTAGGGCTACATTGAACTAAGTCTTCAAAGATAACGTGGGCAGCAGCATGTATAATACAAAATGAGACAGTCAGTACAACTGAAAACGTGGACCAAAGCATGAGTACAATAGAGAACATCCATCGCTGTGCAGACAGCGAAGTTCAGCAGGTGATTCACACTTGGCAACAGACAGGTGGAGTTCAGGCGCATACAAGCAGAGACTGTAAATCAAGAAATAATGCTCCTTGGAACAAACTATTTGCTACTGATCTTTATTGAAAGGATCGTTTTCTGGAAAACACATTCATTTTCAGAGCTAATTCTGAGACAAATGGCATACGGCACATACAAGAGGGAATATTTTTGCTATTTCATGAAGAGATGTTCTAGCCCTTGAAATCACTTTTTCAGAATATGAGTGAAAAGGTCTGTTCATGCAGAGCAACAAAAAAAAATAACAAAGGCCAAAAATTCAGGCACATGAAGGCACACATATGTCATCTTCACGTTTATTTTTACATTGATTTGGTTGAGCAGGTATGTCCAGGTACATCAACCTACGCTGAGTGAGACAATTCCTTGGTGACCCCTGATGTCCTGGGAAAGGTGTGCTGGCTTCAGGCTAAAGCATTTTGTTGAGTTTGGTTTGTGGAGAGATGGTTGAAATGTTGCTTTGTGACTAGTGTTTCCTAGAAGAAAGGGAAAGTAGGGAGCAGATCATCAGGGAGACAGAGACTGTTCACCACAATCTTCATTATCAAACACCCAATAAAGGAAAGGATTGCCTTTTACTCTATAAACCATTACTCACTGTTTGTTCCCAAGTGCAAGGGAAAGAAATTTTTCTCACAAAAAACTAGGCCAGGTTCCTATCTTTTCTCTGTACTAACACACGTCAAACATCGTAAGGAGCCCAACAGCCCCAACGATAGTTTCTCCACTGCCTTTTCGTGGAAAATAGAGAGGCTGAATTCGCAGCTCAGTCATGGAGGAGGAAATTTAAATGGCTCATGGCTATATCCGAGGGCAGTGGTGGTTCAGTGGCAGAATTCTCGCCTTCCTTGTGGGAGATTCGGGTTCGATTCCTGGCCAATGCACCTCACACGCAGCCATCACTATCTGTCAGTGGAGGGTTGTGTGTTGCTATGATGCTGAACACGTTTCAGCGGAGCTTCCAGACCAATATGGACAAGAAGGAAAAGCACAGGGATCAACTACTGAAAAATCAACCAATGTAAACCCCATGGATCACAACAGTCAGATCGTTGTGCATGGAGACGCTGTGAGTCGGGGGCTGGCTTGACAGTAGCTAACAACAACAACATGGCTATAGTAGAGGACAGTATCAAGTTGGCAACCTTTTGGGAGATAGAATTTAGAGTCTCGCACTATATATTATTTCTCCTGGGATTCAACCATCAACTTAAGATTCTGACTCCAATTCCAAATATGGAAAGAATTCTCTGAAATTGTATTGCCATGTTCCATCTAAAACCATCTTCTCAAATAAAATGTCTGGAACATCCATGAGTTATGCGATGAGTTCGTCTTTGTGAGGCAAATGGTTTGCCCAGCTGCCTAAGTGCACTGCCATCTTACATTAGAGCAGCTGGGACCCTCTCTGTAAGGGAGGTGGAGGATTCAGGCTGCTTTCTGCTCCACTCCTTCACTGTTGGGCGCCGTGACCTCACAACAACATCCTATGCACTGGATTCCAAACTAGAAGTGGTCAGAGAAACAGCAAAACATGCTAGTCACAAACTGTATTTTGACTTTTTTTTGGAATCAGCCTATGAAGCCACTGGTCAACATTAAGGATTCTCTCTCAGTGCATCATTTTATATTCAACTTTTTAAAACAATTACATTAAGATTCCATAATTTTTAAAGGACTTTTACCAAGCAGAAGTAAATAGAGCAAAAATATATGCATCACTGACCTTGGTTGTCAAATAATATTAATAATAACAATACAACATTTGCATAAATATCTGCCCGCTGTCTAGTGATGTCAGCCACATACATAGGACTCAATGACCCACTAACATTAGGTACTCCCATTATCTGATTAATACATTTATGTGGCACGTAAAAAATGGTTAAGAATGACATAATTACTTTTCATCATCAACAGAAATGTAAATCTAGAAGACAGCAGAACCTTACTTGTCAAAGGTACCTAAAGTGACTTCACCATATTCCACGGTGTTTCTACATGAGTGTCCTGGTTTATATTGAATAAATGAAAATGTAATATCAAGCACTTATCACTAGAACTCTAGCAGCCATAGTATTCTTTCATGAATCAACAGCCAGCTTTGTGATTTTTTTTTAAGTTTGTCATTTATTGCCATTGTTATGGACATCGCTTGTCTTACCTGTAGATCTGTAGGTGCACTGGTCAGTAGAGGAATCTAACTAATAGCATGCTCATAACAGAACACTTCTTGTACCTTCTCTTAAAGAAAAGTTATATAGAAGAAGGAAATAGCTACCAAAAAAACTCTTCCCCACCTCAAAGGTACGCATTTTCCTAGAAATCCTATCGACCACAGCATCTTGCATCCTAGTGCCTAAGAAATGGACCCAATGGGGCTTACAAGCCCGGAGGCTCTGGAAAGGAGATGGGACACAGTAAGGAGTGCAGACCAGTGCCTTGGAAGAGAGGCAGGTGTATGTGGATTGGAATCCGCTTTTCTCATATTACCCAGTGAAATGTAATATAGACAACGTACTATAATAAACACGTTTTTCAACCCCAGAATCATGTAGCTACCTGGAAAACTTGAAGAAATAAAGCATGAAAAGGTCTATGAATCTTCTCCTTCTTCTTCTTCTTCTCCTGGTTCTTCTCCTTTTTCAGCTTCTTCTTCCTCTGCTTCCTCTTCTTCTGCTTCATCTTCTGCTCCTTCCTCGGCCAGTTCTTCCGTCTTATTTTAACAAAAATTACATTATTACTGAGAAGTGTAAGGGTCAAGAGTTACAGTGAGAAAAGGAGTGTAAAATAGACTAGAATTGAGGGTCCCCCACACACCCCCACCCAACACACATGCACAGACACACATGCACATATACACATACACACACTCACCCAGATGCACACACACACACACACAAACACACAGAGATATCACCCTTATAATACAGACTCCTCAGTTTGGAATGCAGTACATTAATTCTAACGGGTTTCATGATTTCTCTTAAGCACATAGTTTTCAGTGCATATTAGTAGACCATTCTCATCAAATTACCTTGAAAAATTCAGAAGGCAGTTAGAAGAATAAAATACAAAAAGAATCTCAGCAAATAGAATTTCTTCAGAAGGGATGACGCTTTAAATGTATGAGCTGTTTATATTTTGTTATAACAAGCTAATGTCCTCAAGCCAAAGTGATCAGGAGCCTGCAATTATTTCCAAATGAATGGTTTGTCTTATTTTTTGCATATAAAAAGGAATGGCCAAATTCCTTTGCCTAGCAAGAGCAACACTAAAGAAATAATTATGGGAAAGATATAACTTTCAGATAATCGAAAATTTATAGTGTAGAATAAGCTAGAAATAATCTTTAGATCCAAGAATAAGGATTAGTTTGATAAATTAACTTAAAGAAAAAATAAGGCAGATCTATATTTATTGTCCCTTCCCCAAATATAGATATATTACATGAAAAAAAAAGTAAATTACAAAAGAGTGTTGATCAACATGTGCGGTGTGCGTATGTGTAGCTAGTGGTTATCTCTGGGTAACAAGCTTATAAGATACTTTTATTCTCTTATGTACATTTTCTAAATATTCTATAAAGGTCATTAATTATTTTGTAATTTCTAAAATAATAAAATTTTCTTGTTAACATCTGAGACCTTTTAATGTTGATGAGCATCCACTGAAAACCTAGAAACCACACGTGGCTTTTGGTAAATTATTCTCCTTACCCTTGAGTTCTCAATTTTAGTTTAGCTCTCTGATCAACATTTTAAAATGATTAATCCAAAAATGTTCAGAAACAATATTCTTACAATTCTTGATTACAATGAATGTCACTGAGACTTAGTTAACATGAGAGGATGGAAAGAGAGTAAGGAGAGTCTGAGAATGCCTCTCTGGATTGCCCTTAGAATCACTAATGTTCTCTGAACTGACTCATCTAACATTGAAATGATTATGTCCAGTACTGTTTGAATTTTTAAAAAATTCCCTAAATTCAACTAATAAACCCTAGGTTCAACAGGCAAGCAGCTGACTAAGAATTTCAATTCCGCTTCATGATGTGCTGTGTCTACAGTATCGGCAATACGAAAATAACATGCCAACTTTTCAGTGCTAAATGAATGAAAATTATCATAAAGCTCCTTATAACGAATGCCTCCCCTAGTGCCTAATAGGAAGCAAAACAAAATTTCCCAAAAAAAGAAAAAGATCATTCTTTAAAGCTTTCAAAATAAAACTAGTAGAATCAGAATGTCTCAAAAAAGGAAGAGAAGAATGGAAAGAGAAACGATTCCTGTCTGCATCTGGAAACATAAGAGTAATAGCTTCTTCAGTCTTGGAAGGCTTCTTTCTCCCTGCTCATTTCCCAATACTCATTTCCATTACCAAGAGAAAATAAAGGTTTTTTTACCAATCACACAAGCTTCTAACAGAAACTTGTCTTTGGTTCCTGAGAGATAACTCAATCCTTGGAATTTCCTCAGTAATTAAGTTACCTTCGTTATCTATAGGCTTCCAGACTACGCCTGAGAGTTTATGTTAATTAGTGACTCTGGTGGGGGTTGGTCAGGCCAGAAAAACCACCTCCTGATATTGGATGACTTCAGGGGAGGTGGGCTGATTCAATCAATCATGTGTATGCAGTGAGGCCTCAGTAAAGGCTCTGGACACGGAAGCTCCATGGGCTTCCTGGTTGGTAAAACACCAATGCACATGGAAGGGTGATGCATCCCTTTTTGGCACATGGAAGCTTCATGATGGAAACCCTCCCAAATCTCATCCTATACGTCTCTTCTTTTATATCCTTTAACTATAATAAAAGTCTGTTCATCAGTATAGCGCTTTCTGTGAGTTCTATGAGTTGTTCCAGAGAATTTTTGAAACAAAGGGAGCAGTGCGAGCCAGCAGGTCAGAAGTGCAGGAGCCCACCCATCTGGAACAAGGGAGAATGAAGAAAACCAGACACAAGGGAAAGATTAGTTCAAAGGACTAATGGACCACAACTACCACAGCCTCCACCAGACTGAGTTCAGGACAACTACATGGTGCTCAGCTACCACCACCAACTGCTCTGAGAGGGATCACAATAGAGGGTCCCAGACAGAGCTGGAAAAAAATGTAGAACAAAATTCTAACTTACAAAAGAAAAATAAGACCAGACTTACTGGTCTGACAGAGTCTGGAGAAACTCTGAGAGTATGGCACCCAAGCACCTTTATAGCTCAGTAATGAAGTAACTCCTGAGGTTCACCCTTCAGTCAAAGATTAGGCAGGCCCACAAAACCATAAGATTAGACAGGGCTTAAGCATAACAACGATTGTGAGGATGGCGCAGAATGGGGCAGTGTTTCGTTCTGTTATACCCAGGGTCGCTATGAGTCAGAGCCGACTGGACAGCACCTAACAACAACATAAAACAAAATGAGACTAAATGGACGCACCAGCCCAGGGGCAAGGACGAGAAGGCAGGAGGGACAGGAAAGCTGGTAATGGGGAACCCAACCCCGAGAACGGGAAAGTGTTGACATGTCATGGGGTTGGCAACCAATGTCACAAAACAAGACGTGTATTAATTGTTTAATGAGAAACTAGTTTGCTCTTTAAACCTTCATCTAAAGTACAATTAAAAAAAAAAGAAATATGAGTGAAAAAATAAATATGTGCAATGTGCAATGCATTGTATGTCAATTATATCTCAATAAAGCATTTTTTTAAAAAAAGAAGAAGTGAGGGAGCCCAGGAGGACCCCCAGCTTGGGGCTGGCATCCTGAAGGGGTAGAGGGAAAACCCCAAATTTGTAACCAGGAGGTCAAAATCGAGGGTGTCATGAGGGCCTCCAAGCTTGAGGCTGGCATTGAAATCTTGGGCAGACTCGGTATCTGGAGGACTGTACCGTTTAACTTGTAAGCTGTGACCTAGCTCTGGGTGGTTAGGGTCAGAGGAAGAAGTGCTGCATGTGCAGCTGATGTCAGAACAGAAGTGTCAGAGAAGTGAAAAGTGGGGATTTTGATGTATGTTGATCTGATATATCCTCGAAGTTGGTGTCCAGAAAATGTGGGTTTGATTGATCCACGCCCATGTCTTGTCTCCCCTCTGCCATGACCGCCATCTTTTCTCACCCGGGTTCCTGAAAGGAGCCCCCAAGTGATCATCATCACCTCCAGTCTTGCTTCGTCTCCAATTTGCTCTATATCTGTAGCCAGAAACATTGTTCTAGAAAAAAACCAACCTTACCACACTACCCCCATGTTCCATCTTCTCAGGATAAATCCTACTCCTTAGACTGGCTGAAAGACCATCACGACCTGGCCCCTGTGTATCCCATTAGCCTCATGCCTCGCTGTACTGAATTCCCTGCAATTTTCCTACAACAGTCACACCTTCCAGGACACTGCTAAAAAACGACACTTTCAAGGAAGACTTTCCTTGAGTTAGGAAACCCCCTTACTTGCTCCCGAGGTCATTATTTCCTTATGTCTCCCTGACTTTTGTGTGTACTCCTTGGAGGCATGACTTGTGTCTTATTCATTTTTGAATCCCCAATGTCTGGAACCAAGGTGGAAGATCAGTTAGCGTGTGTTAAATGCCTGGTGAAATGAATGCATGAAGTCCACTATTAACTCTTAGGATCTCAAAGAACATTAATTTTCATCTGATCCACATGGAACCAGGTTAAAAATGTAAATATGCAGTATAGAATTATTGATTATGTAGAGTTTTATATTTTTCTAAATACAATTTTTATTAATGGTTTTCTGCTGAAACATTAATAAATAAGATACACACTATTAAAAATGGGGTCAGCCTTAGAACTAGCCTGGAAGGTGGTAGGGAGTCATTGGAATAACTGCTAGTCTCAACTTTTACAAGTTTGTTGTTGTTGTTGTTAGTTGTTGTCATGTCGGCTCCGACTGATGGCAACCACACGTACAACAGAACGAAATGTTGCCTGGTCCGACGCCATCTTCATGATCGTTGGTATGCTTGAGTCCACTGTTGTGGACACTGTATTTTGAATGCCTTCCAACCTAGTGACTCATCTTCCAGCACTGTATTGAATAATATTCTGTTTTGATAAACAGGGTTTTCATTGGCTAATTTTCTGATAGCTCTCCAGGCCTTTCTTCCTAGTCTGTCTTAGTCTGGAGGCTCTGCTGAAACTTGTCCACTACAGGCAACTCTGCTGGTATCTGAAATACCAGCGGTATAGCTTCCAGCATCATAGCTAGCTAACAGTAATGGCACAGAAACCTAGCACTCTTTATCAATATTTCAGTTGGCCTTGATTTCTTGAAAGGTACATTGAACAGAGAAAGCAACTGCTCAAAGAACTTATAGAAATACTTAGCCTTAAGTGATCAAGTGAGATTTTAGTAATTTTGGATATTAACATCACTAGCTCCATAGATGGTAAGCTCCTTGGAACAGGGACTTTTGCCATTTTTATTGCTCCATCCCCAGTACCTAGAAATCTACCTGGCATGTGGCAGCATTCAATTTGTCAATGAAATGTTGAATGAATGCATTTATTATGTATGCTACTCCTGCCTCAAATCCCTCTTGGGATGAGGGAGGATATATTAATTAAATAAGCATCTTAAACCTCTATCCATGGCTCACAGAATTACGAAATATCAGCATTAGGCAGAGCCTTCAAAGTAAAACACACACTTGCTTGGATTGACTTTTATGGTTGGTAAACAATTATACTGACAAAAGTTGTTGTTTTTTAAAGATATAATAATCATGTCGCCAATTTAACCAAGATCTTCAAAAATCTCACTATAAAGTATAGACCAGTAACTTGACAAAGCATACAACTTAAAATAATTTTCCTCTGTTGTTCTTCTAAGAAAACCAGCAGGAGGAAGCCTCAGAGGTGGGGCATTTCAGAGCCTTAAACAGCAGCTATTTTGTTGGGAACTTCGCCAGGGAAAGTCAGCTGCTGAAATGGTGCACGGACAGAGTGAAGGACAGCAGTGGTCAGAGTCAGGTAAGGCATGGGTCAGGACAGGAGGCTGGCGTGAAGCGTGTCCTGTATGGGCATCTGGCCTCAGAAGGTGCTGAATCAGAGGGCAGCATTTCCCCAGTCTTCAGGCATAGAGGGACCCAGCTGCAGACCTGTGAGCTCTTCAAGGGCCTATAACAACATCTGCCTCTTGAAAAAGCAACTTCTTTCAAGACTGCTTTTGGAGGGAGACGAGAAGAGTGATTCTGAGACCATAATCATGTAGTCAATTAAGCCAAAGTCTTAAAAGATTTTTGGATAAGACCACTGAGTTTTCAAAGAACACAACTTAAAATAATTTTGCCTTGATAAAAACTGAACACAAACATGAATAAGTTGCAACGTTTCCAGGGTCGATAACATTCTCATGATTCTGTAATCCCCTTCTCAGAGAAGGCTGGAAAATGAGATGAACTTCTGCTTTCCTCCTTAATTCCTAGGGGCACCGTTCACCAAGTGCCCCCTCTCATCCTTGGCTCCTCACCCTTCCCTGTGTCATCAGGCCAAGCTCCATGAGCCCTTGTCCTTCCAGTGGGCCTGAAGGTCCAGGTAAGACCTTCATAGTCACAAATTAATGGTCCTTTCAGTACTCACCTTCCCTGACCTCCCAAATGCTGCCCCCAACATGTTATCAAGTAGATTGGCATCTTATGTAAGAACCCAGAGGCTTGGGGAGTTGGTCCAGAAATCCAGGTCGTTAAACGAGATATGGTTCCTGTCGCCATTTCTGTTTTTTAGAAACCAATGTAATATACTTAGATAAATATTCCTCCCCATTCCAATGGAATCATTTGAGTGTTTCTAAGTGTGTACTGAGTGAGCGTACGCAACAGCTGAGATCAGATGTGCCTGCCCATGACTCAGTCACCTACCTGGTTTATCACTCTGCTTAACACTGACAGCTGTTGGAATGTTTACTGTCTTGTTGCGAAGTAAAGAATTTAAGCTTACCTAAAGAGAGGTCCCTTGTGGCGCACTGGTTAAGAGCTTGGCTGCTAACCAAAAGGTGAGCAGTTCAAATCCCCAGCCGCTCCTTGGAAACCCTATCGGGCAGTTCTACTCTGTTCTATAGGGTCGTTACGAGTTGGAATCGACTTGACAACAAATAACAACAACAACAACAAAGAGAGATCTGGTCTTTGCCTCTCCTCCTGGGAGGTGATCTCTAGAAAAACTGTCTTTATTTGCCTGGGGGCCTTGGACACCGGACAGTGTAACACTGTGCATTATGATTGCGGCTTTGGGTCCTGCAGTATCCATCCTACTTTCGGAGGGGCTGAAGACTGAAGGTTAGTCACACAGGCAGTTAACCATGGAGTCCCAGTAAAAACTCTGGACACCAAGGCTCGGGCACACTTCATCTTGTCACACATCATCAATGGGCAAGTGACGCTGCCCTGACTCCATACAGAGAGGACGTCTGGAAGCTCCACGTTTGGTACTTTCTTGGACTCTGCCTACGCACCTCTTCCCATGGCTGATTTTAATCTGTATCCTTTCTCTATGACAGAGTCTCTGGGTGATGCAAATAGTTAATGTGCTCGGCTGCTAACTGAAAGGCTAGAGGTTCCAGTCTACCCAGAGGCACCTCAGAAGGAAGGCCTGGTGATCTACTTCCAAAAAATCAGCCACTGAAAACCTATGGAGCACAGTTCTATTCTGACACACGTGGGGTCGCCATGAATTGGAGTCAACTCAATGGTAACTGGTTACTGGTTCTCTGTAACAAACCAAAACAGCTTCCAGTGAGTTCTGTGAGTCCTTGTAGCAAATTATCAAACCTGGGGGTGGTTGTGCAGCTGGTGTCACAAGTGAAGGCACTCTTGTATGAACTAACTGCATCGGCTCAGTGTTGTATGCTCAGAATCCAGCACCATTCCTGACACCTGGCAGAAGCTCAATAAATGTTTGTTGAACAGAACTGAATGTGATGAACTACAGTGAAAAAAGCACTCACATTCTTTTCTTGGGATTCGGGGAGGTCGCCCACATCTTCACCGTCCTCTTTTTGCACCTCATTTTCTCCACTTTCTTCAGCCTTCTCTGTTTCCTGGTCATAGAGGAAACCCACAGTGTCACTCGCCTTAGATAAACTACCAGGGAAAAACCAGGCCGTGCATGCTGTGATTTTCTTATTGAGATGCATAGTATATAAATAAGGCAGAGAGATCATGTTTATTAAGTCAATTAACTACTAGAGTATAAGATCACTGAACCTAGAAATTGCTGATTGGATTTATTGGTGTAAGTCAATCAACTTACATTAATCAACTCCATGAACGAGGAGTTTCAGTTCACTCATTTAAGGGTTATGAAGAGAACGCCAAAGGATTCGATATTTACAGTGTTTGCTTTCTACTGCTTGTGTGGAGGGAGGCTGTAATAATTTCAGATATTAAAAAAATAGATGATAGATAGATAAATAGATAATAGATAAACAGACAGGTAGATAAATAGATAATAGATAGGTAGACAGACAGATAGATACATAGATAGATAATAGACAGATAAATAGATAATAGACAGACAGGTAGACAAAAAGATAGATAATGGATGGATGAATGATAGATAGATGGACAGACAGACAGATAGATACATAAGACAGATGGATGATAGGTAGATAGACAGATAGATAAGACAGACGGATGATAGATAAGATAGATGGATGATAGATGGGCGGGTGGATGGGTGGATGGATGGATGGATGGATGGATGGATTGGATGGATGGGTGGGTGGATGGATGGATGGGTGAATGGATGGGTGGATGGATGGGTGGATGGATGGGTGGTGGATGGATGATAGACAGACAGATAGATAAGATAGATAGATGGATGATAGGTAAACAGATAGATAAGATGGATGGATGACAGATAGATAGATAGGATGGATGGCGGGAAGGACCGAAGGAGGGACAGATGGATGGACGGATGATAGACGGATGGATGGATGGATGGATGGGTGGGTGGATGAGAGACAGACAGATGATAGACAGACATAAAATAGGTAATAGACAGGTAGACAGACAAACAGGTATACAGACAGATGATAGATAGATAATAGATGTATAGAAAGAGAGAGAGAGATTAGGAGCTAGCAAAAGTTTGAGGACACTGGTGTGGAAGAAGCCAGGCTGGGATATCAACCCTTACCTCTGCAGTGCTGGGTGCCTCTCCCGTCACGTCACCATTGGGAAGGGAAGATGCTTCCTCAGGCGATTTTGTCACCTGCATCATATAAACGATAATAGTTTACATTTCAATACGTTTTAGCTCTTCAAATTATGTCTGTCTTCATCGTTCATTTTATCTTCACAACAAGACTGCAAGCTAAGTAGGTAGGACAGCCATAACCACCCTACGCTTTATTTGGAGACAAGAAAATAAAGGCAGAAAAATGACACATTGCAAGTTACGGACAAGGCTAGGTCTACACTCCCTACTTTAGGCGCTTTTGACTTCTCCAGTGGTTCCCAGATTCTTACAATATTAAATTATTTTTATTACAAAAGCACTTCAAGCTCAAGGCAACAAATTAAGCCATACACACACCCTCCAGTCCCACCTGCCTGTCAGAATCAATATTAAATATTTGATATGTACCTAACTCTATCCTAATGCATACACAGAAGCTATTTTTTTGGTTGGTTGATATTTTTGTTGTATTTTGTGTTTTTTAAAACAGAAATGGAACTGATAGTGGTGATGGCTGTACAACATGATGAAAGTAATTAAGTCACTGAATTAAACATGTAAAAAATGTTGCAATGGCAATTTTTTGTTATATATACATATATATGGGTAAGTTATTGGGTTGTATCTTTGTATTATGAAATTGGGAAAGTTCTTTATCGTAGATACAAACCCTTTATCAGATATATAATATCCAAATACGTTCCCCCATTCTGTGGGTAGTCTTTTCACTTTCTTGAGAGTGTCCTTTGAAACACAAAAGTTTTTCATTTTGATGAAACCAATTTATTCATTTATTTTCTTTTGTTGTTTGTGCTTTTAGTGTCATATGGTATCCATTGCCAAGTCAGAGATCATGAAGATTTA